GCAGAGTTTGTTCAGATACAACTTCGGAGGAATATAGGGTCCCTTTCCCTTGAAAGTGGTCGCACCGACCGTACGATTTCCTGCGGTGTCTGTCATGCTTCACCGTGGCTCCCGAACACGCTACCAAACCCCTTAGTCCCTCGCGAAATCGGTTGCTCATTACACTCTGCGTCCGACGGAACAGACAGTGACCTGCACAATTCCCTCGTCAGGTACCTGTACAGGACAATTCTCATGCCGAACGCTACACTTCTGAATGGAAGCAGAGTGCCTCAGAAGAGACTGATCAATGGTGGCGTAGCCGTCTATAATTGCTCTTGACATTCTAGGACGGAGTGGGGTGCTCCTAGGCTCCTAGGTGATTATTACGGACATGAATTCAATACTGCTGAGACTAAATAAGCCACATCTTCGAAATCATTAGAAACACCATTGCGATCTTTAGCTATTTACCTCTATAGAGAATGAACCAAATACACAATGAAAGAATCAACAATCGATAAAATTTGATAAAAGGACTGCTTGAGCACGTGGTCTCTGGTACTTCATCTTTAGCTTTCACGAAGTGCATTGTTTCGTGGCACAAGATGAAAAAAAGTTTCCTACTTATGCACGGGAGGAGCGCAGTTTGCTGTAAATGAAACCTCGTAAACACTCACATGAAGTTTAGAGAATGTGTATTTTTGAGCAAGCACGGGTGAACTGACATTGTTGGACGTCATTGAGAGGGGAAAGGAATTTCGCTCTGTACTCGTCGGCCGGCGACGAACCTCTATTCGACCCCCTGAAACAAGAAAAATAGGATATTACAATCTTACCCGTTCAAAATTCTGATGCAGAGTCAAGCTGACCAACCATGACAGAAGTCGAGATGTACTGCTTTTGTTTTGTGGTCAAGCGGTGGGTAGCAGTTATTGAGGAGAGGTTTTTTCGAGATCGACAATATATCCTTTGCTTTTCCTGAAAAGTATAACGTTGATTTTAACATTACTTTTTGTTCAAAGATGTGAGAGTGATGATCTAATTACAGAACAGCTTGCATCTCCTTGAAGACACGGTCCGCAATAGGCTGCGTTTATACTTTGCGGCAGCGTAGCGTAGCGCTTCCAGCGTACGCCAGCGGCAGTGCCGAAGAGAGGATGCATATCGATCTAGCTTCACCAGCGTTTCTCGAGCGTTTCTCCAGCGGCACCAGCGTTTTGCTAGCGCTTGCAGCGGCAGGGAGTAGAGACTATGTGGCCGTGAGAGACGCGGAATCGACGTGTATTGTAGAGACCATGTGGCCGGCAGAGACGCGGAATCGACGTGTATTGTAGAGACTATGTGGCCGTCGGGAGAGCGCAGCTAAGGATGTGCATCTGTTACAGAGACTAAGGGCGAGTGAGAGACGCGGCAATCGATGTGTTTTGTCCCCTCCAGCTCTCCCATAGTCTCTACTCCCCTGCCGCTGCAAACGCTAGCAAAACGCTGCGTGGCAAACGCGGGAGAAACACTCTGCTGGCGCTACGCATACGCGTGCCGCTTTAGCGTACGGCCAGCGCTGCCGCTGATGAAGCTAGATCGATATGCATCCTCTCATATGCATCCTCTCTTCGGCACTGCCGCTGGCGTACGCTGGAAGCGCTACGCTACGCTGCCGCAAAGTATAAACGCGGAAATAGGGAGCGTTGGCAGTAGTGTTAAAATATGAACGAGAACTTGCCAAGGGACTTGTCCTCAGAGAGAAAATGAATATCGAGGCCACCCCTAACAGGGCCTCTTTGGCCTCCAGCAACTGGATGAGTGCGTGACGAAAAGAGCGCGTTTTGGGACCAAACTTAACCTTATCATGAGCCCTACGGCCTTACAAAAGACAATGGACCTCCCACTTTGATCAACACATATGGGAGCGTCGCCTTTCGCCCCTAGGCAGACACGTGTAGTATGGGGGCGGAGTCACCAGAAAAAAGGGAGGTGTCACTGGAACAAGTAGCTCCTTAGCCCATTTGCCTCACAGTTTACCCCGCAAAACCATACCAGGTTGTACAGTGCCAAACACATTACCCTTCCCCTTCCCTTCACAATTTTTTTTTGCATTTTCATAGGTCATCGAAGACCTTTCCAAATTTTATTCTATAGGCCGAAATAAATTGTTTCTAGCGGACGCTGTGCGACTGCCCGCTCATCAATCAAACACTGCGGCAATAATTCGCGAAGCGCCCTACGAATTGAATATCGGGTCCGTTCTAACAGGAATCGTCTTCCGAATTGCAGGCTGTTTCTATTAATCACCAATAACTAAAACTGTACCTTTTATCTTTATGTCTCTCGCAAACAACATGACCGTTACTTTCACTGATTTCCTCCAGACGAAATGGCGGCGGACGCTCCATGCAAAGAAGCATCGGCAGCCAGTCAAGGAGGATCTTCCGCGTCTGAAGTCGGGATTCCATTAATTTGCCATAGAAATCTTGGGAATAGTTCTGCAGAACTCACTAAAGGTGTCATCGGATGATAGCTTTCTGATGTTCGATGATGGAAATTCAGCGCAAACACCGTGCATACCACAGAGGCACCGACTTCGAACATTATGCAGGAAAAGTAGACCTCTGTAAAAAGAACATTACTCAGCGCTATTCATCACAGTCGATATCTCGCACT